GCATTACAGTAGTCCAGGCAGGAGGTGACGAGGGCATGAGTGACTGTGCGCAAAGCGTCCCGGTCCAGAAAAGGGCGCAACTGGTAAATCAGGCGAACCTGATAAAACGCCCCCCTGGTCACGGCCGACAAATGGTCTTCCAGTGTCAGCCGTGGATCCAGGAGGACACCCAAGTTGCGTGCCCTCTCTGAGGGGGCCATGTGCTACCCAAATGATACATGAACTGTTGGATGGCCTGAAAAAGCTAAATGTTGTGTTAAAGTGCAGTGACAAACACCATGTTTTTTGTGTTGATATTTCCATCCTGGTAGTTGCTGTGGGGCAGGGGTCTTCAAATTTGGTCCTTTTATGACTTGTGGACTTCAACTCCCAGAATTCCTCAGCCAGGCATGCTGGCTGAGGAATTCTGGGAGTTGAAGTCCACAAGTCATAAAAGGGCCAAGTTTGGAGATCCCTGCTGTAGGGAATGAAATTAGTGAGGCAGGAATAGCAGTTTTCATGCTAGAGAGAGAATCATTCTGTCCATGTAGATCAACGCCTCTCAGAATGATCAGGAGAAGAGGCAAACATCCCTTGGCTTAAAAAAACGGAAGGGAAAAGCCTTGAATTAGAACCTGGGAACAAGGACCTTTACAATAACTGTGACTTCTGTCTACTGCAGTGGACCAATTTTCTCTTGCTCGGGTCATGCCTATTCCTGAATAAAGGGTTATATGTTCAGAGGGATAAGATTTACAGCTGAACCTGGCCTGAAAACAATCTCATTCATAATGCCCCAAGTAGACAATGTATCAGTTAGGCTGCCAGATGAATGAATATCAAGAGTCCTTCCTATCAGTCATCGTTTCCTGCCACTTTAATGCCAAGCAATATTAAACCTTGTCCTGATGTATCCTAAGTGGAATTGGCTAAAAACAAACCTTGATTGAAGGGGATGCTGATAACAACATTGAATTGCTTCCATGTGAGAGAGAGAATTAAAAAAAACAGATGAGGCTTATTTATTTAGAGAAAGAGGGACTAGCAGTGGGTGCATGCAAGAAGGAGCGATGGGTTTTACAGTTAAACATAAAAGCAAAATACTGTAAGCACTGCTTGATTTCAGGGATTATTCTTTGTTTGGAGAATAACAAAGAATAACAAAGTAAAATAATCAATGTGCATAAAAGTGGAGGCAAACTTTGCAGGTTTAGGGGAAGGGGAGAGAAAAAAGGGAAAAGAGAACGGCAAGTTTAACCCACTGAAGCATGCACCCACTCTTTTCTTCGACCTTAAAAACTTTGAATTCACCCCTCTATCTTTTCTCTCCCTGGTTGAGTTTGCACAATATATTAACTCCAAATCATAATGCACCACATTATGGCTTATTAAGTGAGTAAATCTACCTCTACAGTGCCAGGTATTCATGCCACGGTTTGTTTCTTTCTTTTTAGCCTTGTTTACAATATTGGCCAGAACCAGGCCTTCAGCAATATGGACCAATGCAGGTGGAATACATATCTCGGTCAAGTGATGAAGAAGTTGTAGCCCGTCTTTTCCGGGTGCAGAACATAAGACGAGTGAGTTTGCTCTAAACCTCTGCACTGTTTTTTTTTTTAAATTAAATCAATGCTTGCTTGCTTGCTTTCAAAAGAAAAACTTGATCTGAAAGAATGGAAAGGGGAAAGAGGTTTGTATTGTGGTCATGTGGGGCCATTCTTTTCTCTTTCTACCAGCAATAATTGCACGTGTTGTGGTTAGGGTTGCCAGGTGTCCACTATTTGAGCGGACAGTCCACTTTTTTCACATTATGTTCACTATTTTTTTCCACAAAATAGTGGACATTTTTTTTATTCAAAAGCTTTATGATAAAATGGTACGTAATCTAAAGTTGTACAGTCTACTTTTTTTACTACTTAACCCCCCCCCCCCGCTTGTCCGCTAATTTTTGGAAGCAGACCTGGCAACCCTAGTTGTGGTAGATTCTCGGTTTTCTGACTTGCAGTTTAAAGCTTCTTCACTTGTAATTCTGTAATGGGACAGTAGGAAAGCACACCAAATTTGATTTCAGAATAAAATGGAATAATCAGTGTAGTCTGGTCATGCTGGAAGAAATAGGCCATTTTGTTTATAAAAGATTTGGAGGTAGGGCTGAGAGGTGAGGTAACCAAGTTTCTATACGAAACCCAGCTGCTGTTCAGGGGAGAAAAAGCAAAAGGGGATTTCAAATTGGACTTGGAGATTATTGCAAGCTACTGTTAATGAAGGGTTAATGCATTCCCCCCCCCACCTCCCCATGAATCTCATCAAAACCAGTTTGCAATCACTGAGAGATTGGGAGCATTGAGGACATTCAGCCTCACCAATGGAGAGGCAAAGGATAGAAGAAACAAGAACATAATATCTGTCTATTTATCTGTCTGTCTGTCTGTCTGTCTGTCTATCTATCTATATCCCACTTTTATTATTTTTACAAATAACTCAATGTGACAAACATATCCAACATGCCTTCCTCCCCCTATTTTCCCCGCAGCAACAACCCTACAAGATGGGTTGACCTGAGATCAACCTGCTGGCTTTCATATATTATAAATATATTATATTCCACCCATCTCAGTGATAAGGTGACTATCTAACATAGAAGTGCCTGGGAAGAAAAGGACTTGATTGTCACTCAGTGCAGACCAGCTAAACGCTTCACTATCTTTGAGAAATGGCCACTGTTTGCTGGCCTGTGAGGCTGAGTGAAGGAGTCGGTGTAAGATTTTCTCTCTCTGATAGATCTTTACAAAGAGCTCCAAAAGGATCTCTCCAACCTGAATGAATGAGGCTCAGGATAACCAATACAGGTGCGGGGAACAACTGTGAAACAGAGCAGATGTCCCGCTGCCTGGGTGGACAAACCTTTTGATTGCAGCCAGCTGACTGCTGTGTGACTCACAATGCTAGCTTAGATAAGCCCTGGTGTGGTCCAGCACAATCCTTCTTAGGTCTTTATGGAATTGTCTGTCTTTCCTGCATTTTGTTTTATTTTTGTTTTAAAAGACAGGGAATTTTGTCTTGTGTTAGACTAGGAAAACTTTTTTTTTTTTAATTGAAAATTTTATAAAATTTTACAATATAAATCCCCCCCTTCCCCAACCCACCCTTCCATTCCCCCCTCCCTCCCCCCCTCTCTTCCTAGTGCCAGTCACAGGGTTAACAATAAAATAATCATACTCTAACTAACATTAATCAACTATTAAAATAACATATCTATAACCTCCTTTAACTCTCTTTTAAACAGTACAATTGTTAAAAACAATAATAATAACAACACTTTAATAATTAAAAATAATACTAAATAAAATATTCTAACCTTTATACAACCATAATACTCTAAAATTTACTCAAAAACCAAATGATATTTTTAGTCCCATATTTATGCTCAATATAATCTATCCATCTTCTCCAAACCAAAATATATCTTTCTTGTGAGTGATTCTTCACATAAGCGGAAATCTTGGCCATTTCTGCTAAGTTCGAGACTTTAAGTGACCATTCTTCTATAGTGGGTAAACGTTCCGTTTTCCAATATTGAGCTACTAGTAGTCTTGCAGCAGTTATAAAGTTCAACATCAATTCCATTTCTTTTGCATCCAAGTCTTCCATAATACCCAACAAAAATATCTGCGGCTTAAAC